TTTTTTTCCTTTCTTACAATAATTCCTTGTAAGAAAGATAAATTAGTTTTTAATTATATTCTATAAATTTTAATGCTATTAAAATAATTGTTTATTTCAGGTGTTTAAGAGAGGAAGAGAGAGTAAGCTGATACATAACTTGCAGGGTGAGCTATATATAATCTATGTACTAATTAAATATGTGTATTAGCAAAATTAACTATATACTAAAAAGTAATTAATCATTAATCTACCACGCCATTCTTAATATCTCATTATCCGGCTCCAGCTCCAGCTCCGGCTTCAGCTCCGGCTCCGGCTCTGAATCCGGCTCCAAACCCTAATGGTGACGTGGACTGTGACGGACAATGCAAAAAGAGGTGCAGCCTTCACTCAAGGCAAAATGTATGCCTAAGGGCATGTGGAACATGCTGTGTGAGATGCAAGTGTGTGCCACCTGGCACTTTTGGCAACAGAGAAATTTGTGGGAAATGTTACACTGACATGACTACCCATGGCAATAGGACCAAGTGCCCTTAAATTATATTTTATTTTATCAACAATATAAATAATTAATTAGGTCCCATATTTATTTTTATTTTTTGGGTTTTGAGTGTTTGAAATTTGGTTTGTAGTACTATTTTGTTTTGGGTTGAAATAGTTGTCTGATTGTCCTTTTAGTAATTGTAGTAAGTATTATTTATGGGGTTTTGTTTCCTATGGCATGTTCTTTTTACTCATGTGGTGAGAATTGAATTTTTATTTTGTATTTAATTAGTTTATTGGTTTGTTTGCTAATTTCATACCACATTGATTGAGTATAGAATTGTTGATTAAGATATATCAATTGCATACCAAGATTTCAAAATGACGAATAAAAATTCAAATTTTACGAATGAATAAGACCTAGGGTAGTAAATTGAAATGGAAAGTTTGAATTCTGCCGATTGTTATCTATTTTGTTTTTTTAATTTGTGATGCCGGAAGCTCCCACCGCTTCATGAAATCCCGTATCTTGGAACTCATTCTATCTTGAGCATGTATTCTGTGGACCTGCAAAAGGGTCTGGAGGGTTGCTACCGGGATTAGTACTCTAACGTCCAAGTCAGAAAGCCCCAAATTTGAAGAAAATATCGTGTAATATAGGGAGAGGGAGAAATGCATTATGTTGTCTCTCGTTAGAATGGTCGATTTCTAAGGGGATATTAACCTCTATTTGTTGTAGAGATATTTGTGGGTGTCATTGGGTTTATTCAATCCAATTAATTGAGTTAATTTAAGTCCATGATATTTTTTCAACCATAGTGCCTAAGTCATGAGGTGACACCTACTACCTTCTGGTTGCTTTATTAATTACTATATGCATGTCGCTGGTCGTCTTGTCCATTACTCTCTACTTGCTGCACGTCCGCTATTTTATATTCGCACTTCGGTCTCGCGAGTATATGGCCGAGCCAAACTACTTTATGGTCTCAGACAATCTTTGGTTTACTCGGACAATTTCATGCCCGCACCTATTCCACACAACTGCTAAATCCAAGTCGAATCAATTTGAAACAATATTTTGTCACTTTGATTCTCAAAGATTCCCTTTTCCAATTCGTTTAGAATTCTCTTGGATTGAAATTAGAATGCAAGTTTTTTTATTTCCGATTTTAATTTTGAAATGAATTACGAGAATTCCATATTTTATCCTAAAATTTAACACTTATAACGAGGCCCAATATCAAATTCAAGAAATGTATTTGGAAATTCTGGCAGGCAAAATAAACATTCTTCTTCAATGGGCCTACTTTATGGCTCATTGACTTGCAAGATTTCTGCCCCCTAAATGTAGAAAAGCCCAATAAAAATTTATGGGCAAATTACGGTCAATCCCCTGAGGTAGTTTAAATTATGAAAAACTCCTTATGTTTGGATAATTACAACAACCCCGTCAACTATATATTATCTTACGAAAAAATCCATTATTCAGTGTTGATACCATAAGGATGAATGTGTAAAACAATACATTGTTGAAATGAATGGTTGTAATTATCCATACATGAGAAGTTTTTTTATAATTTGAGCATATATCAGGGATGATGGCTCTACTTTGTCCAAAATTTATTGGACACAAATATGTAAGTAAAAATAAAAGTTACATATTAAATTATTTATTTTGTGTCCCTTATTTCCAGATTAATCCAAGATAGAGCTGTCCCTTCATTTAATTTTAAGGTTGTTGGACTTTTGAAATTTGAAGAGGTGTTTTAGTATCCAAAATTTTATAAGGATGCTTGAAATTACAATATATCAAGGAATTTTATGAGACTGGACCCTAAAACTATATACTTTGTGTAGAAACAAATTTCCCATTAAATTATTATTTTATGTAATTCTAAATTATATTCTACCATGGAAAGATTGTGCTGCCAAGTTCAGAGATTAATTTTGTCCCAGCCCTTTACTATCACATTTGTAACATAATTTGAACTTTTAGATTAAAAAAAATGTATATATACAAATTATTCTAATAATAAACAATTCATTATAATCACATTAATAGGAAAAAATATAATCAATGTTGTCGGAATCGGACTGGACTGGTCTGTCGAACCAGAGATAAACAGGTTTGGTCTAATTTCTAAAGTAGAGGAAAATGAAAACCTGGGTCTATCGCCCCAAACCCGGTTCGACTGGGTAAAACTCGAAATCCGGCAAACCGGCCAAAGAACCTAGTTTCGGCCAAAACAGCGAAAATCGTTGGAAGTAGGTTATGTGTTGCTAGATTTGAAACGGATGTTGGCGGAGTCGGTGGTGGGTGGTCGGCTCTGGTGGTGGTGGTTGTTGAATAGGGGGGTGGTGGGTTGCCGGATTTTTAAGAAAGGGTGGGATAAATAAAAGGGAGAAACAAATAAATCTTACATGAAAATGGAGAATATGGAGAGGGATATAGGTGGAAGATTTTAAAATATACAGAAAATAATATTTTTAAAACATTAAAATTAATAAAATAAAATAAAAAACCAAAAAAATTAAAAACAATTTTGAATCGGTTCGACCCAATCGAATCGTGACCCAAATGGCCGTCCGGTTCCATGGCCGATCTGCAAAAAAACACAAAACATGCCATAAAATAAGAGTCACCATTATGTATGTGGCTTTTCCATGCCATGAAATTAGGTCATCTTTTCTCAAAAAATAAAATAAAAATTAGGTCATCCACTAATGCCAATTATGTAAATTACCGAAAGGATATACACTTACTTCTTTATAGAAAAGTAATTAAATTGGGGCTTTAAGTTAGCAGAAATTAAATAATTTAAGAAGTAGTACTATCTAGTAATTTAAGCACATTTTTTTTAAGAATAAGAAGAAAACAAATTAGAAGACAAAACATGAGTAGGAATTTGACAAGTCCATGATGGTTCATATTGATCTTAGGTGAAAATTGTGGTCGACATATTTTATATTTTATATTTTATATTTTATTTTTTTCATGGAAAAAAAAGGCTAAATATATAGTCCCTACCTACATAGTTAAGATCAAGGACGAACCACAAGTTGTCATTGTATTATTGTCAATCAAGAATTCATATGAATCTTGAATTTTGAGTGGCTTGTATTCATATATACCTAGAAAGACCACATGCATGCCTCTCGATTATGGTACGATACAATTTGACATGTTTCCACAAATTGCAAATTGTTATATATAAACCCCCGACGTCTGTATAAATTAAAAGTCGAATACATTGCAAAATAAACGTGGCATCTAATAATCCGAATTTGATTCACATTACTAACGTTTTTCAGATCGGGTTCGTCACATAGGACTTTTTAAAGCAATTTACACCTCTCGTGCAGGTATGGTGGACGGTGTTGCAAGAGAGACCACAAGATGAAGGATTAATTATACATTTAATACATTTATTTATAATTGAATTCATGCTCAATATTCATTTGATTCTGACTAGATGTGCATGTAGTGTATTCATATATTTGACTTCAAACATTGTTTCATAATCACACACATCAATTTAAATAAATATAAAAATACCCAAACATCAAACTCCACTAATAAATAAATATTTCGCAGTTACGTACTCAATTGCTACAAATTTTCTTCTACCACATATCCCGCGTGAAAACAATGATCGTTTGTTTCAATTTTAATATCGTGTTGACTTTAAATGTGATTTTGACCATTTTCTAGTCTGAATTTGGCAACATTCAAAAGATGAAATTCGCAGATATTTAAGTCAGCTTTCTAATTCAACTTGAATCATTGAAATTGAATATCGGATTAATCAATTAACACTGCCAACAATTTTAATATTTTGAGTTATTTAAAACATAGTAAATTGTTACTCCCTAACGATCTGTGTAGGAAATATTTTAGCGAAATAAAACTTTGAATAATAAAATTAAATACTTATTGGAGAGTTGCGGTTTTAGGAATATAAAAAGGTTAAAGATAATTTAATAACATTTGATAGTGCAATCTCCTTAAGATAATATTATTAAGCTACCAAATTGCAACAATTAAATTCATAAAACAATGTAGCTAAGAAATTGAGTACTTTGTGTTGAGAATTTAGTTACTTCTTTCACTTATTTATTCACATTAGTCCATATAAGTTTTGAATAAATAAATAAATAAATAAATAAATCTTCCAATTAAAGTTACACAGCTTTAATTAAACTATTTAGGCAATATTAGTTTCATAACTACATTTATTTAAAAAAAAAAAAAAAGATTTAACTTGTCACTATCACAAATATCAACCACATAAATAGAAGGAAGCTTCGATGAAACTACAATTTATTTGTCACTTTAGGCACATCACTATTTTGCTATATTTATTTTTTATATTTTTTAAACTTTATTATTTGAGCCTATTGTGATCATTTTCCTCATTAAATTAAACTCATAATTTCTAGAGTGAAACTAATTAAGTTTATTATTTCCTAAAAAAAAGAAGAAATTGAGGAAAAGCTACATAAAAACATAAAGATTAAACTAACTAATTAACCCATAAGAAATATTATAAAGAATTAATTATTAATAACTAGTTAATTGGAAAACACTCCTTGTGTTAATTTGAAATGCTAAAAAACATCATTGTGATAATTTTATTACTATAAGCCACCATATATTGTGTATTTTTATTCTTATAACCCTCAAATTGATTACTTAATTTCAGAGAACTTTTGCGCTGATAAAAATAACCCGATTTTTTAGCTATCTTATATATAAAATAAAGAAACGGCAGGACAACCTACGAAACTCTAATTGTCTATTTGCTTCTTTGTAATTAATTTTATTTTATTTTTCTCTACCAATTTTCTAATTATTTTTTTATCTTTCTTATCTTAATGAAACAATTTTTCATTTCTTTTGTCATTCCTTTTTTTTTTTTAATCTTCGATTTGTTTTTGTTTCTCTACGAAAATGCTCAACAACCCTAATGGCAACTCCGTAATAATTATATATTATTTTTTCTTTATTAATTATTGACGACTTTCCCTTAATATTTCCTTCAAATATACTCATTTTTTAAATGCTTCCGGTGCATCGCACGTGGATAAATGCTAGTTAGAATAAACACAAAGGTGTTCAACACAATAAATTAAACCCTATAAATGACAGTGAATTTGATTATCAATTGATTATAACATTAAAATACACGAAACTCCATATTTTAGTAACACTTTGGTCCAACATTCTGTTTATTTTGAAAACTTAAATTCGCCCTTTAAATAAAGGGGAAATATGCAATACCCCCCTCATATGGGAAATATATTGAACTAAACCCAATTGACTTTATAGACTTTTGCCTACACCCAAATCTCAGTTTTAATTTGTGAGACCCCCCTAGACCTATGTGATAAGACAAAAGTACCCTCAACCACAATATTCCTAAATTCTAATTATTTTTCTTCTGCTCCCAATCGTTATCTCTCGTTTCTCAATTGTTTTTTTTTCTTCTCTTTTCTCTGTTCTTCATTATACCAAACCCTAGATCTAATTTTTCCACCACAAAAAGATTGAGGCGACAACAGAAGATCACGGCGCTAATTATTTTTCTTCCGCTCCCAATCGTCATCTCTCGTTTCTCAATTGTTTTTTTTCTTCTCTTTTCTCTGTTCTTCATCCTACCAAACCCTAGATCTAATTTTTCCACCACAAAAAAATTGAGGCGGCAACAGAAGATCCCGGCGGCAGGAATCGACAAACACAAATGGTAAAGGATTCAAAGGAGTAGCAGCAGGACACCGATGGAGATCTACAAATTATCCCCACGCCGTCCATGTTCTCGCCACAACCGCCGCCCTCCGTCAAAATCGCCGCCGCCGTCCTTGCCAAAACCGCAACTGTTGAATATCTACAAATTAACCGGTATAATTTATGGATATGAATTTTCAATTATATTATTTTATTTTATTTTAATTTTTTTTAGTTAAATGGTTATAATAGCGTGAAAATTAGAAAAAAAAAAAAATAACATTAGATTCTCCGAGTACCTAATACAAGGATGAACTAAAGGAGTAAATCGTTATTCCCACAAATTATAATCCTAATGCCAAAAAAAAACGAGTTTTTTGGTTGATGGTCAGTGTTGTTCCTAAGCCAAAGTCCGTTTTAATAGTTACTTTTTTTTTCCCCTACAATGTTCTACAGTAGTTATATTATTTTGTTTGTTATGAATGCATATATTTCAATTATCATGCATTTTATTAATTTTTGTGAGTTTTTGTTTTTTCGTATCCTAGTGCATGTTTGTATGCATTTGTATGCATTGGCAATTGTGGATTGGCATGATAAGAGTTGTGATTTATATTTTTTTTTTTTTGTGTTTCATGTTTTTCGAATTCGTTTTATTTATCTGATAATGTATGAGTGTTCATACCATTTGGTTGTTATGAATTTTAACAATAAAATACCATAATAGTCACGTATAGTCGCTTAACTACACCTGTTATGTTTGCAAACACTTGTGCTCATAGTCACATATAGTCATATATTGTGTTTTACCTGCCGGGGGTTGAGATCTTTCTCCCTATTCATCTACTTCACTTGATCTTAGTTTGTTTTCTGAAGTTTTCTAGTGTAAAATTCAGTTTGCAACCAAAAGAATCGATGATGCTGAATAAGATGGGCAAAAAGCAGGCTAATTGAAGAGAATCAACTCTATAGTCATATTGTAGTCATATTGTAGTCATATTGTAGTTATATGTAGTCGTGCATAGTCATATATACGACATTTTGTTTTTTTCTAATGTACAATGATGTAGATGGTTGTTTATAGTTGAAGAATTCATACACGCAATTTTTTGATGTATTTGTGTCGCTACAGATGGATTTGTAATAACAAGGTTCAAATTGTAATTTTTTGTGTGGATGTTGATTGGATTGTTTTCGTAAATAATGGGCAATCTTCGTGTTTTTATATAATTTGGTAAACATGACTGTAGTACACTATATAATTGGAAAGTTTGAAGTTGAAAATGTAAAAAACGGCAATGTAAAGAAAGAATATGAATATAGTTGATATAGTCACATATAGTCGACTATAGTCATATTCGGCGTAGTAAAATTATTGGGAAAAAATTCGATTTTTTTGTTTAAAGAATTAAAAAAGAAAATCTAAAAGAAAATTTAAATAAAAGATTATAAAAATTTCTAAAAAATATTAAAAAATAAAAGAAAATAAAAAATAAAATAAAAAATGCTAAATGCAGTTTGAAATTGCTAAATGCAGTCCAAAATTGATTTTTGCAGTCCACATAATTACTAATGCTGTAGATAAAGGAGGGGTATTTTAGGTAAAAAAATCTGAAGGGGCTATTACAAAGGATGAATTTAGGGTTGGGTTTATCTCTATTTCTTAGCGGTTGGAGGGGTTTATTGCTAAAGACCACTTAAATAAATAAAACATCAATATATTATATATAATATAAATACAAATATGTTTTTGTTTTAATAGATACGTAAATTCAATGATGATTTCTGGTAAACTCTTATTTGCATTATTGAAAGCTACATGAAACCACGTTAGGCAAAGTAATTAGCTTAGTACCTAACACAAAATCATTAATCAATGCCACGTGTTTGTTTCGTTTTATTATTATTAACATTGCAATAATACCCTCCAAAACATTTTATCACAACTAATTGTATACAAATATTAATAATTTTCAATTTTTTTAGGGGCCTAAAAAGGATATAAATTACAAATAATAAAATATATGTACATAATTAGTATTTGCATGATTGTTAAATCACAAATCGAATTACAAAAAACATTTTACTAAACATAAAAATCGTAAAAAATAATGAATCATGTAATTTTAAAAGTTTTATATTTATTTTATTAAAACATTACTAAGATAAGAATGCATATATATATATATATATATATATATATATATATATATATATATATATATATATATATATATCAATAGTTAGATGATAATGATTTTTTTTTCTATTTATGTTTCTTCTTTATTTAATTTTGATTAAAGAAATTCAAAAAATACGCCAAAATCGTTTTATCAGAATTTCAATTTTTTATCCATCTATTGTATAAAATAAATAAATAATATGATATTACAGGGTGTAATTTTCGGAATTGTTTTTTTGAAATTATTTACGAAAATTAAAATTGGATTGGAAATTAGAATTTCCCAAAAAAAAAATCATTTTTCATCCACCTATTTCCAAGGAATTTTTGAAATTATTTAGAAATTAAAATCAATTTTGGAGAAAAAAAAAATTGATTTTTTTAACATTGGGAAATGGACTTTATAATTGGAAATTAAATAATAATACTAATAAATGGAAGCACAATTACGACCAGTTCGAATGTTGGTCTTTGTGTTCTGTGAAGAAGCAGTCTGCTTCCGTCTCTCATATCCACTTTCCGGCGATACATTTCCGGCGATATAAATAATTACTCCACGATCAAATTTCCGCCGTTGTGAGTTCCGACGAAGCTTCGGAAATGTCTCAGAAGCGGCAGCAACAAGACGACGGTACTTCATTAGACGACAAGCGTTTGAGGAAATCCCATTCTTTTAGAAGGTATACAAATTCTAGGGTTTTTTTTTTTTGATCGCAACCAATTTTTGTTTCTTAATTTTGTTTTATCTCAAATAAATAGCATTTTGACATGGTATTCAATTTAGGTATATATAGAAAAAAAAAAAAAACATGTGTGTTTTACGCTTGACAGATTAACAGTAGGTTAATTATGTTTGTTTTTATCATTTTAAGATATGAGTTCTGATTTGTGCAGTTTCCGGAGTTTTTCGATTTTTGGCTGAACTGATTCTATGTGTTTGTTTTTTTGGGGGTGCTTTTTATAGTGTAGTGCTGGATGTGATGAATCTGCTGAGAATGCAAAATCTCATGAACCCGCTTCTGGAGCCTTTGCTTCGCCGAGTTGTAAGTATCTCTGCTTCAGAAATATATATGTATATATAAATAAATTTACATGGTATTGATAAATTTGTGAATTGTAGCTCTATTTCTTTCCATTTGAAGTTTGAACTGTGTAATTGTAGAATTGGCTACTTATTTTTTTTCGTATCTGGTGTGTAAAACCGAGTTAGATGAATAGTCGATGCCATTGAACTTGTCTCGAATCTCGAGATTTTTGGGTTTGATGCTCAAGTCTGGCATATGAGAAACGAATACCGTTTATTCGTGCCATATTTTCACCACCACATACTGCAAAACAAAACTCCCAATTTGCTGTATAAATATTTTTGTTGCTTCTTTGATCCAATAATTCCGATCATGAACACAATGTACCGTTTCTTCTTCTGCTTAATTTAGATTACGATTGGTTGATCAATGCATGATTTAGCTAATATTAAGTACTTTATGATCGTACAGGTCAGAGAAGAAGTGGACTCAGCATTAAGAAAATATATAATCAGTATGAAACGGTACGTAATCGAAGTGTGAAACTCTCCCCTTCTATATATGGGGCACTCTTTCCTTCATTTTCTTATTTAAGATTCACAAGCCTTGGTGATTTTTTGGTTCGATTTTTTTTCTAGGAATTGTGCAAAGGATGTACAGACATCCGAGTCGAGAAGTTTGCTATTACGGTTTTCAAGTGCTATATCTCTACCAGTGTTTACTGGAACTCGTATCGAAGGAGAAGGTTGCACAAATATGGAAATAGCATTAGTCGATGCGCTGACTGGGCATGTTGTTTCCGATGGTATTGGATCCTCTGCAAAGGTGGAGATTTTAGTTCTGGAAGGAGATTTTGATGGTGACGAGGGAGAAAATTGGACAGTTGAAGAGTTCTCAAATAATATAGTGAAAGAGAGAGAAGGCAAGAAACCTCTTTTGACTGGGGATTTGACGTTGACTCTTAAAGAAGGGAAGGGATTGATCGGTGATCTCTCGTTTACAGACAATTCCAGCTGGACAAGAAGTCGTAAGTTCAGGCTCGGGGCTAGATTGATCGATGATATTGGTGGTGGCAGAGTAAGAGAGGCAAGATCAGAACCCTTTATTGTTAGGGATCATCGTGGAGAATGTGAGTGTTTTTTTCTTTTTTTTTATTATTTTTTTCGGAGTTTTAACCAGTTTTCACCTACATGTTGGTAACTCTACTCTAAATCGTTCTTTTTCTCGTGCAAACATAACATTCTTAGCTTGATTGGCCATATACATATATAAACATATTTGAAAGAAAAAAAACTCGTGTTTGAAGTGTTAAGATATATACGTTTTCTTGTTGATACCAAAACATTTGACTTGATGCGTATTTTGTGAAACATGAAGAAAAATGTATTTGCTAATGGAGTCTGACTTTTATGGATATCTGCTACGATCTTTCTTTGCTTTGTTTTCGGTTTTTCTTTGAAGTGTTTTTGTTCGACGTAATGCGTTTCACATTTTCCATACATAATAGCCAACTTGAAAAATAAAGATTACTAGGAATTTTAGAGATGCACTCGTATTAGTACAATTTGTAAACATGAACTGATTAATGCCACAATGCTGATTCGCCTTTTTCTTTTTTCTCTTTCCTTTTTAAGCATACAAGAAGCATCATCCCCCATCTCTTACCGATGAAGTTTGGCGGCTAGAGAAAATCGGCAAAGACGGAGCTTTTCATAAACGTTTGAGCAAGGAAAGAATCAAGACGGTCCAAGACTTTCTGATTTCACTCTCCTTAAACCCCACAAGACTTCGAAATGTAAGTGAATCAAACTTATCACAACTTCGAAAATTGTATCTTTTTGCCCATGCTCGTAAATAATCTCCCATTACATAGTTCGTTAAACATATAATAATATTCCAGACATTTTTTAACAAGTATGTTGGAAACCCTGCAGATTCTTGGAACTGGTATGTCTGCTAAAAAGTGGGAAGTCACGTTGGAACACGCTCGCACGTGTGTTCTAGACAAAACATTATACTTATACAACGCTTCGATTTCTCCAGAAAACAATGGGGTTGTTTTTAATGTTGTGGGACAAATAATGGGGCTGGTGTCAAATGGCCAGTATATCACCACCGATAAGCTCTCCGAAGCAGAAAAGGCAGGTTTTCTCTTGTATTCTCTCCTCACTTCTCGTTTTTTTTTTTTCTGATTTTTTTAAATTACTTCCCATTTTTTTTTCAGGCGGAATCTCATGAGTTAGTTATCTCCGCATTTGCAGACCGTGAAAAAATCGTCACTTTAGACGAGTCTTTTCTAAGCATACCTTCTACCTCGTCTTGCTTATCCGAAATTCCAAATTTACCCTCGGAGAGTAGTGACCATCAACATTTGTCTTCCTCTCCCGATTTTATTCAGTCATTATACCCCATAGAAGGTTCTAGCAGCTTCGATTACTACTTGCATGGAGTCGATCCAATGGATATAAGGTACGACCAATCATTGAGTTTCCCTACTCAGTTATCAGAGAGCTTAATCTGCGATACTGACTCAATGGCTCGAGCTTTCTGTGCAAATGAGGACTTCTTCGAGAATGATTGTTCGTTACAAAGTTCCAATTTTGAACTACATAGTGCAGATGCAGAGCCTTTTGTCCCTCGTTCGATTCCTACTGATAGAGCTAAAAAAGGGTGGAATATTTTAGCGTGTGTGTTAAGATGGAGATTCTGCATAAAGAGAATTGTGGCGAAAAAAACCCGTGTTGGACCGTTACCGTTACAAGTACGGTGATGTTTGTTGGTCGTGAATACGTGTCTTAAAAAATGTTTGATTTTTAGGGATTGTTTATATCGCTATCCTAGGTAATGTTTTTGGTTTGCCTGAATGTATTTTTTGTTGCTGGCTTTGTTCTGCCCGACTCGATTTCGTGTGCAGTTTTTTCGTGTAAGAGTTTTGGCTACAATTGTCCTCCATTTCTATGTGAGGATTACTTGTGTGAATTTAATTTTATTTTTTTTGTGGATAAAACAACTAAAAGAACCTTTTGCCATATTTTAATTCATATAATAGCTACATTTTAGTGTTTAACAATTCAAATCCCCTCTGGTTGGAGAACGATACTCAAACATGGGGAGTAAATAAAATTAGTCGTCATTGAAATAATTAACTATGGGGAAATATACAGTTTTGGTCCCTCAAGTTTGCATTAATTCCACATTTGGTCCCCATGTTCAAAAAAACACATTTTTTTGGTCCCTCATATTAAAAAAATCAACATTTTCAGTCATTTCCATCAATTTTCCGTTAGTACTGACGGAATCAAGCGTTTTACCCATCACTGCCTTAACTGACGGAGTAACGGTAAATTGACGAAAATGACCAAAAGTGTTCAATTGTTGAAACATGAGGGACCAAATGTGTTTTTTGTGAACATGGAGGACCAAATATGGAATCAATGCAAACTTGATGGGTGAAAATGAAAACTATAATTTTCCCATCAACTATGTTTACATATTCTATTTGTAATTGATAATTGTTGACTTATGAATTGTTGTTTGCCAATAAACTTAGTAGCACTTCCTCTCCATTATGTCAACGGCCTTTGTTTTACTTAATAATTTGACACGCTGCATTATGTTAACATTTAGGTTAAAAGTTAAAACTGAATAAATTTACATTGATTTATAAATAAAACAATAAATCAGAACTATCATACAAGTTTAAATGTAAACAATAAGTTCACATTGATTTCATATCTCAAACTACTCTAATTCAAAAATACACCCCCAAACTTTAATTTTACACCAATTTCATCTTTCAAGCCCTAATTTCACTTTGATTTCTATTGTTGACCATTTGACCGCCGGCGATCAACATTAACTTTCTTTTTATTATTTTTTATTCTTTTTGTTGTGGTTGACAGATAATATTATTGTGTTGACAGTAATATTACTGTGTTGCTGACGACCGTTACCCTTCTTCTTTTCATTTTCGCCCTTGGTTGTTGGTTTGTCCATGCAAAGTCAAGGTCAACTCTGCTCTAATCATAAGCTAGTTGTTATACAAAATGACTGGATTTATTGTACAATCAAGAAAGAGAAGAAGATTCTTTCTATATATATATATATATATATATATATATATATATATAAATGTTAGTTACATTATATTGTTCTTGATGCCTCTGTTTGTTGATACTTTTCAGTTATAATAACAAATTTTCTGCCGATTAGCTGTGATTAATTTGACGCTGCAATGAAAAGTTTTGTCAGAATTTCTGGTAAACATTAGCAACTCTTCCAGCCACTATTTATTTATTTATTTATCTATTTATTTATTTATTTATTTATTTATAATCATGGTAATTGTATATATCTAATTATCAGCACTGCTGGGGGCTGAAATATTGGTGACGTACGCATTTTTTGAGATGCAAAACTATTTAACCAATGTTTGGCATCTAAGCTTCACTCACGCAGCTGGGATTTTGAATTTATGGAATGGAATCTCAATGGTGTTGCCGCTTCTTCTCCTCTTCGTCGTCGATACTATCACCGGAAATTTCGCGATGCTCGTGCTTTCCAGCACAGCCTACACTCTGGTGAGTGTGTGTACGAAAGAAAGAAAGAAAAAAAAAACGAAAAAAACGAAATAACGTAACCGTCATTTCTAACTATTTTTTTGCAGGGAACCGTCATGGTTGCAATTTCGACTCCGCCGCTTCTTGCCAACGCAACCGGAACGTGCAAACAATACGAGCCACACTGCGTTGGCCGCGTTCAGAAAACTCTCTTCTACACGGGGATGGCATTTGTAGCGGTAGGAATAGCCGGCCACCTCGTCTCTCTCCACCCATTTCTCGAAGAACAACAAGATAGACCGAACGACGCCGGCCATATACAAGTTGGAGGTTACACTCTCCTTGTCCTTTTATCTTTGACCGGAGCTATCGCACTTCCGTTTATAAAACCATGGTCCATCCGTTTCGGGATTCCGGCAATATGCACCGCCCTAGCAACCCTTCTTTACCTCACCGGTTGGTGTAAGTACGATAGGGGCCCACGCGGTAGGGTCCCGTTAAGTTCCGTCTGTCGAGTTTTCGCAACGAAGGTTCCGGTGTGTACCGCAGTCGTGGTTTGCGGCATGGTATCCGCGATTAGGAACACTTACTTTGTGGCGCAAGCGAATCACTTGAACCGTAGAATCGGGGGACGGGAAGTCCCCATTCAAGTGCTTCTGTTGATTCTGTCAGGGGCAAAACAAGTTTTCGCCCCGTTAGCTGACAAATTCCTAAACGCACGCGCACCATCGACAGGGATGGGAGTGACTATGGTTCTGTCAGTCCTATGTTGCGTAACTGCGGCCGAAACCGAGAGAAGAAGACTCGATGTCGTCAGGAGTCACGGTTTAGTGGATAAGCCGGACGAAGATATTCCGATGACCGTGTATTGGCTCGTGTTCCAGTTCGTCCTGCTCGCAGGAGTGGACTCATTTTTCGAGAAGAGCATCGCTAAATTCTGCGACGGTTACGATCAAAGCAATGAGGAATCGTTGAAGAAATACTTGGGTTATTTGAATAAGGGGGTTTGTGGTGTCGGATTCATGTGTAGTGCGCTATCGGTTTATGCTGTGGGTAAAATTAGTGAGAGGGTCGGAGGGAGAAATTGGTTCGAGCACACATTGAACGAGAGCCGTTTGGATAATTACTTTCTGGTGTTGGCATGTTTGAGTGGTGCGAGTCTAATTGTTCTTGTTTTCGTGGGTTTATGTATCAAGTTGATTAGAAGAGTTTGTATCTAGCTTTTTATCGTTTGAATGAATCACAGGTCGAATTCTGCTCGTCTCCGACTTTTTTCCCGTTTATCAAAGAATTTGAATTTTTTTTTTTCATTTTCTCTATCTCAATCTTTATAATAAGATCTTCGAGAATTCATGTAAACACTAGTAGAAAAATGGTTTTTTATTAACTGTAGCAAAAAGTACCAAATTATAGTAGTAAAAAGACTTTTGCTACGAATTTGCCCCGTAGTATACACGGATACGGGCGTGACAAAAACTTTGCTATGGTAAACGGCCGTAGCAGATATTTTTTTGCTATAGTAAATTCTAGCATTTACAATGACTCCCAGATTGTCGTGTATTGAAATATACATTTTGTAACGATTTTTTACCGTAGTAAAAATTCATTTTTCTACGAGCGTAATTTCACCATACATGTATATTTGTCAACTACACACTTTTACACACACCTACTTGTAAAACGAAAAAAAACTTTTTTGTGAAGAGCCAAATAAAACAAGCCCATGAGTATAATATATCTGAATTTTCACAAAATTGCATAATCTTATCTTGGCTGATCTTATCGTAACATAACTATAACTATGAATAGACCCATTACATAAGCACGTAAGAAAACAACTCGCACTAGAAGCAAGAATGTACCTTATATCTTGGGTTCGTGTGATTATAATCATCTACATTTTACACACCTTGTCGTCTTCACAAATTTCTTTCTGCGAGATAAGCAATCGAATAAAAAGATGTTAATCCTTTAGTTGTTCTAAAATCTGAACAACTAAAGAAAGTCGCACTTGTGGCGATGTTCCATAGCTGGATCGTTGGAGCAATAAATTAATTTTGGTATTATAAAAAAGATATCAGCTGTAATTGAAATTAATCTGTGGACCTTTTTCCTCCGTGTCTCCAAAACTTCTTCTAGAGGTGGTCGACCTGTAAAATAATCGCTAATCTCCTATTAAAACAAGCTGGATTTTTGTAAATTAGAAATAAAAGAAAATATGAATAAACCCACCCGTAACTTGAAGACGATATTTAGCCCAAACTCCATAAACGGCATCTGCAATGCTGGCAACCTGTAAACGAGATGCTTGTTACTAGATAGGAAGATATGCCGAAAAATGACACTTATGCCCTCAATACTAAAAATCAATAGTGTATATTGAAGGTGTACTTACAGGTTCGTATTTGGTAATGGCATAAACCCACCCCAAACCGACGACTTCATAAAGTTTTCTGAATGCCTGCAATTTATAAGCAAATCAATTATGTTGTACGCACACACACACACACACACACACACATATATATATATATATATATATATGCACCTCAACATCCTTTACAATAGTTCCATCTGATAGAATTCCGTGAATTCGACCCATTACCTGAATTTCGATAAACAACAAAAATTAACACATGCAGTAGCATCATAGAACACACGAAACCATGATGATCAACACATAGCAAAGTAATTAAAAAAAAAAAAAACGATACGGAAAATACTGTTAATCGACGTAAATTAAAAGAGGAGCATTACGGTTTTGTAATCAAGGCCTTGATTATCTTCGGGACTGTATTCATCCGAACTTATGTCCACAAATTTGATTGTTCCGTATTTTTCGTTCCTGTCTCTCAGCATATTAACCTAAAAACACAATTTAGATAAATAAAAAAAAAAAATCCCGATTTAAACTCATCCTAGGAACGATGAAATGTAATTGTTACATTCGTTACATCAAGAAAATATTTCGTTAGTTTTCGACTTTTGCAATTTGTACCTCTCTCATACACAACGGGCATTCGCCATCGTAAAGCATCTTAATCTCCCAACTCTGTGATGATGGCTCTTGATTTTCTTTCTTCGGAGCCATCGGATCCGCAGCTGTTCCATTTATCGACCTAATCGAAAATTTCAAACCTGGAAAATAAAATAAATAAATAAAAAATAATTCAAGGTTCGGAGTTCCATACTCAAAACCTCAAATCCCAGACAAGAAAACAGACTGGTTAATTTTAACCTTTGATTTCCACACATATACACCAGGAAATGTGTGTATAAATATGGATTTATACACATATATATATACACTAGAATATAATCCGATAAAAGTTAATCGGGCTTGGTATAGAATAAATCGAAAACATGTAAAGCCCAAGAAAGCTAAACAAAATTCAAGAATTGCCAGCAATTAGTTACATCATATGGTAAATGAATAAACACACACACACACACACACACACATACCGGATTGATGACGAGGCAAAGGGGTTGATCTGAGAAAAGGGTTAGAAGCAGAGATATGATTGGGTGTTGTTCGGAGAAAACGAGGAAGTGAGAATAGGGAAGTGTTTGCCTGTTTTCCGACAGAGATTGCATTTCTGAATGCCGCCATTGATGAATATTGTACAAGTGCTGTGCTGCTGTTGATTCATAGTTTTGTGATTGTTGGGCTATAATAAGTTTTCTGTTTGTGTTACGTGGCAACACCTTCTTCATCCGAATGATCTTCGGGCTGTTGCCCACAATCGGGCTCGGGCCATGTGTTTGGGCTCCGTCAAGATTCAAGTTTTATGAGATGCTGCACTATAAAATGATGGGTATATTTCATTTTCCACCATTGTACTTTGGTTTGGTATTACTTTACCATCTTCTGCTCTTGACTGTATCGATTTGCCCCCCTTCACTTTAAAAATTATGTCTTTATGTTACTTTGGATGTTAGTTGTCAGACATTTAACCTTAACATCATTTGATCTAAGGTCTGAAATTAGAAAAACGCCACATCTAACAGTTTAAATAATTATTAAAAAAATAAAAAGAAAATTAAAAAACAAAACCTCCCATCATAGTTTATTAAGACCACGAAGAAACATAGTCTACAACGCCCGCCACAATTTTTTTTTTAATTTTTTTTTTTTATTTTTTTAATAATTATTTAAACTGTGATGGGTGGTTTTTTTGTAATTTTCAAATTTAGATCAAACGGTGTTATGGTCAAAGGTCTGAAAACTAACTTCGAATGCCACATTGAGATTATTTTTCAAGTACAAGGGCATATCGATACAATTGTGAGTAGAATATAGTAAAGTGATATCGAGCCAAAGTATAAGGGGAAAAGTGAAATTTACCCTAAAATGAACGTAATCATAAATATAAATAAATAATCGATCAACGAGGCACACATATATGAGTTTTTGTTTTATGTGTATAATGTAGTATCTACAAAATCAAGATCCAAGACTCGATCTTTCAAGAAACTCGGTCGAGGCAAGTACTCAAGGCCCCGTTTGATTATCAATATCGGAATACTTTAAATTAGATGAAATTGAATTAATTCTTTACTGGTTTATTTAGTTAGTAGATGTTCAATTTGCTTAATATTTTTTTGTATTAATATACTGTTAGATTGTGATATTTTAAGCTATCTATCTTATATTGTCCTTTAAATTCTTCATAAATGAAATTTAATTATTTTAGGAAGAATTACAAATAACCCCTTGATGTTTGGTTAAATTGTAAAAATATCATTCTTGTTTATATAACTACATTTACTCTCATTTAAGTATGTTTAAAACAACATTAATAATAACAAGGGCGGAGAATCGGATAGATTGAATCCAAATTAGCATTTTCAGAAAAAAAAAAAAAAAAAAAAATCGGAAGTGAAAACTAATTTTAGTTCTATTAAAAAAACAAAAAAATTGAAATCGATATTTCGGGAATTGCAACCAAAAAAAAAAAAAAAAAAAACTTGTTCCAACAATTGATTTTTTTTTATCGAAATCGCTGGAATCTGAAAAAAAATAATTTCCGGTAACCTAACACATAATCATCTAGGTTTTATAAGTGTAATTTTTTAATTTTATTTTTGAATTTTCATAAGTATTTCCAAAATTAAAATTTGGTCGAAAAAAATCTGAATCTCATATATTCCAATCCATAAATAAAATCTAAAAAGAAATCAGAAATCGAAAATTTTGAAATGAAAATATTGTCCAAAATCGAAGGAATAATAGAATTAAAGAAAAAAAAAATTTTTTTAAAATTTTATTTTCCGTTTAAAAAAAGAATTACTAGTTTTCAACAACCCAATAATTATTAATTTGCCCCAAATACGGGTCAGAAGTGAGAATACCCAAACATAAGTGGCTAATTTGAAATTAAACCAAGACCTTCCCCAAAAAACCTTCTCCATTTCGGTACTGTGCAATGTGCTACCCATTTCAGCCAAAGTTTCTCTCTCAGATAGCCAAACTTTCTTCACATCTCTTTCAATCGAAATCGAAGAAATAAACAATGGCCTTTTTACTCAATAAAAGCGCGCTCTCGGCGCTCCGACTCAATTCTGTATGTATATGTACATCTATTTATGTTGAAATTTGAAGATAAAGCTGTAAAAATTAATGGGTTTTCTTTCACAATTTACACAGAAAGGAAATGATTCGCTGACGATCTCGAGGCGTGGGTTTCACGTTGAGCCAGGGGCTCGCGAGAAGGCTGTGAGTTTTTTTTTTTTTTTTTTTTTAATCTTTTTTTTATATATTGAACAAATTATTTATTTGATTTTTTTCGTTCTAGATCGTATTCAGTAGGGTTAGTTGTAATTGGGATCTGAATTTTTGTCTGGGTTGTGAATAATAAAATCCTGGGCGAAGGTGAAAATGTTAAATCGGGGAATCGAAAACCTAATTTCTGATTATATTTGCGATGTGTGTAATTTTTTTTTTTTTTTTTTTTATTTTATTTATAATGTGCTATTAGTCATTAGATGCTACATTTGCGCTGATCGAATTAAGGTGACTTGAATTAAGAAGAAAAAAACGTTTGGTGATAAGCTGACATTCTAGATTTTTCCGTGTTGATTTTATCTTCGTATAGAAAGCATGGAGAAGTGGTTTTGGTTTGAATAAGTTTGGCTTTAACCGGAAGGTTTTGTTCGTTGAGTTTGAGAGAGAAAAGTCTGAAATTGAATAAGATCTGGAAATAAAATATAGTTCCTCTACTAAGGAAGAACATCATTTTTTGGATGTAAGAATTAGAACTCGAACTCGAGAGAGTACGTTTCCTGTGTTATTCTAGTTCCTTGGGAACAATAGTGCAAAAGTTCGGATTGTTCTCTCGGAGTTTGGGGTGTTTTGTGTTGTTGACTTGAAGTTCGGATTGTGTTGTTGCTTCGTGTATTTCAAAATTCATACTCTATTTGGCTGATATTTCCGATTTTCTTCCACCCTTCTAAGTATATTTCTCATCCACATGTTAGGTATGTGCATGCATACATATGCGCCTATCTTGCTCGATTTCTGGAATACGATGTAGTTGAAATGACTATTTAGAATTTATTTCCGGTTTTTGTCTTCTTGTGCGTCATGTTTAAGACAGTGTGGTTGTCTTTTTCAGCTCTTGGCAGAGGACTCGTCACTGAAACGCTTCAAATCGCCTAAGAAAAGTGTGCGCCGACTCAAAATTGTGGGAGATGTTCTTACAGTCGTTGTTGTAGCTGGTACGTTTGTCTCTTCGTACCCGTTTCAGTCTTACGAAGTTCTTGGGATTTATAGATAAATTGTATGCATTTCTCGTGAAACTATTTGTCGGGATTGCTATTACATGAGCTGGTTAGTAAACATGAATATAACTCGTGTTATTTGCATATCCCAATTCTCATGCGCTTATTGTAATATTGGTGACAATACACGATTCATTGCAATAGCCACGTGTTAGCATTCATTAACCCGAAAAAATTAAATAAACCCGGAAAATTAAAATTAGCAACAGTCTTGGATAAAAACATGTCGGATGGTGATTAGACGTAGCAAAATTAGCACCTCTAATCTGTTATATATATAGGTGCCCAATGTATATTGTCAGGCAATCTTATTTGAAAGGTGATATTAGAGTACTTTTTTTTTTTTTTTTCCCGGAAGTACGCACTTAAAAAATCGGTAGACAATTTGCACCGAACTCTCGATTATAGCTCTCTCACTTTGCTTGTAGTTTTTCCTCTCAACTTACCTTTCTTAAGTGCAGCTCGTTTGCCTTAGTGAAATATGTAACTAAACAGCCCGTTTATTGGCTTTAATAATTCACTAATACGTAATTAACGGGGACAACTTAATCAAGATAATTTTTTTATTGCAAATTTTAATTTGCGCACCCAACATAAAACGGGCAATTGTTACCTTTCGAATATGTATGAGATACTTTTTTTTTTTTTTTGAAAAAGAATTTATAATTTTAAATTTTATAGATTTATTCGACTTTCGAGTCTTGTTATTTTTACCCTGACGTTCTTGTCGGCTATTGTTCAGGATGCTGCTACGAGATCTATGTTAGAGCAGTAATGCGGGAAGAAGCACGCAAGCAGGCGAACGAGAGTGCTTGATGATTTCTGCAATTTAATTGCAATAATGCCTTTTGCTAATTTGATATTTCTAGTGCTGCAAAACCTGTGTTTGATGTGAGATGGTGTGGTATTGAAATAAAGTGGTTTAGTTTAGTTCGAATATTTGCAAAAGCTTATTTAAACGCAGAAGTTATGGATTCTGCGTTAAGTTGGTTTTAAGTGCTTATTTCTAGAAGTTGAGAGTGTTTACAAATTTGCTTGAAAATTAACTTAAAGCTGTCAAAAGTTAGTTTTGCAAATATCTTAAACAGATTATGAGCTAAAAAAAAAACTCATAATCTATTTGTAAAAGCTTTTGCAATGACCACCTTAATCTCTCGTTGAGAGCTTAATTGCTCATAGCTCTCGTTCAATAACTGAATTTTTAATTAAGCTTTTATCAAAGTCACAAACTGCGATATGCAGAATTCGACGATCAACGGTCGTGGTTTGCTAAAAAAAAGAAGTAAAACGAATTCTTCGAGAGCTCAATTATTTATGAAGTTTTCAAATTGTGCACATTGCGATCTGTTACTATATAATTCGTTACGAATTATCGTTGTCGATTTTTGTTATTAAAAAAAATTAAATTGTTTATTTTTCCCCAATTTTTAAATGGAAGGATTTAAAGTTTTGATATTCTTTATAACCTATATTTATATTAAATTCTCGTAGAGTTAAGAATTACTGCTGGCTCCATTTCTAATTGGGGGTGATTGAGGATAAAATGATAGGAAATTAATTTTGTAATTTTGTACTTTTTGGTAAATATATAAAACAAAAAGTAAGCACAAACTGCAGTCCAAAATACTCCTATTCAAGAGTGGAGGATTAGTTGTACTCCTAATTAATGACTCAGCTTCAATGTTTGACCTTTTCCTTGTGGGAAAAATAAAATAAAATCATTCTTAATTATTTTTAAGATATTTATAACAAATATTATTGATTCACATGCATATATATAATTGAACACTATATGGATGAGGATGAAGAGTTTTTATATCATGAGATTAATTCATCAAGTTGATGATAAAATTCATGGATTTTGTTTTTGTATATTTGTCTTTTTAATTTAAATAATAAAGTACGTAGTGTAATGGTGATCATGCGACTAATATAATTCGAACACATGTAGAGTAACTGTAGAGAAAAAAAAAAAAAGAAAAAAAAAAGAGAAATTGTGAAAATATTTTTTAAAATGGCCATCGGTAGATAGATTTATCATTCGATTACACATAAAAATACATACATTTAATTAGAAGAGATTCTAAAGATATATTTATTGCATATTTCATTGTAGCATAAATTTAATTTTTAGAAAAGACATCTTAAGATTATTAATAACCTTTTGACTCGTTCATTTCTATAACATATTCAAATTCCATTGTTAATTAATTGATTAATTAAAAGATTTCATAGTATATACATATATCAGATTTAAGAAAATACCTCGAATATTTATATATATATATATATATATAATTAAAATATTAGATAAATAAAATAACATAAAGAAATAGTTCAAATTAAATTGTCCCATAAATGCCCCCGCGTGGACAACTACACATAAAGAATTTTTTTTTTGTCAAATTACAAAAAAGTCCCTCATATTTGGTTAATTACATCAACTATAAATCTTCTTGCACATCTATCCTTGTAATAAGAAATTTAATGGAATCTTCTACATTATATGAAACATTCTCCAACATGATCGTTTTACCCCATTCGAGCTCCACATCTTAAAACAAGACGATCATAAGATGTGTCTCTTGGCTTGTAAATATCATATTGTGGCTCATCAGAAATTGCATTTTTACACAAAACGAATACAAACTAGACAGCATTCCTAGGAATCTAGAAGATTACGTTGAATTTAACAGCATAAATATAAACGTGTAAGAAAATTCATAATTACATATAATTATTGTAATTATCCAAATATGATGGATTTTTTTTGTAATTTAACCTTACCTCGAATCGACGTAATTTACTTTCTTTTATTTTTGAAAAGCCCCCAGTAACGCCTTTTGCACTACTTCTCTGACCAGCTGACCTGTAAAAAACTTTTTACACATAAAAAGAAGAAAGCAAAAGAAAAACAAAAGAAGGGTGGAAAAAGAATTAATTCTTGATTTTGATAGCATTGATTTTCGTTTCTTTCAACTGTTCTTTCTCCTTCCACAGTTTCACTTGGTAATAAGATCTAATTAGTTTGATTGTTTTCTGTAAGAAAAGAAAAAATAGAAAAAAAAAGGAAAAAATGGCAAGTTTATATGGAGGGACAACACAGAAATGCAAAGCATGTGAAAAGACAGTATATTTGGTGGATCAACTAACCGCCGACAACAAGGTTTATCACAAACCTTGTTTCAGATGCCACCATTGCAACGCTACCCTCAAGGTCTGTATATATATACACCCTATCTTTAATTTATTTACTGTAATAAAATTATTAATCATCTTTTGTCTTGTTTTGGTTGATTTTCTGTGTGCATGAATTTTATTTTGGTGTTTTTGGACCGAATATTTATTTTTCTGATGAGGGTCTTGCTTGAATGCTTGAAAATTTGGATTCAGACAGGTTTTTTTATGGGACAGTAATTCGGTCTTAGTAATCGGATTCTGTAAGCGCTTAATCGGATTATGTGATGAGGGTTTTGCTTGAATGATTGTTAAAGTATAGTTAAAATTAATGCAGTCGAGACTAGGGATAATTTAGTGAATTATTAAATTATCGAGTTAATAATTTAAGACGTGCTCACCGAGTCGGGACCGAGAGAAACTACTATTTAAGCGAGGTTATCAATTTATCGAGGTTCTACTGTATGTGATTTATTGGTTTATTGGAATTTCAGGCAGTTTTTTTAAGGGACTATAATTCGGTCGAGGTTATCGGATTCTCTAAGCGCTTATCGATGGCGAAATAGTAATTTTTTTTTGTTTGTTTATTTATGAATTTGGGAGTGGTCTGTGATTGTTGTTTAATGTTTTATGTTAATTGCCTATATGCAAGAATTTAGGTTGATTTTCGGACTCGATATCATTTTATTCCAATGAGAGTTTTGCTTGAAAGATTGATAAAACATGTGCTCGTTTTTTGTTTTTTGGAATTCGTTTTATTTGTTGAATTGGATGAGAGTGATGATGGATTACCCTTGATTGGCTTTGCTGGATAGTTCATACTTCGGCACTAGGTTATCGTATTGTGGAGTTTATTGCATTTAGTACCACTTTGTTATACCGAATTGCTACAATATTCCCGTCCATGTTATAAATATTAGCAAAACAAACCCGTATGGTGCATTTTTTGTAGCACGCAACCCGCTAAATAGTACGTTTCTAGGGGGTAAGTTTGCTAAGAAAATTGACTCGTAGGTTATATTTTACTAATATTTATAAGACGAGGAGTTTTTTGACAATTAGATTAGACACAGGGTGCTAAATGCAATAAACCCTCGGATTCTGTGAGTGCTTATCGATAACAAAATAGTAGTTTTTGTTTTCGGTTCGTCTATTTATGAAATTGAAGGTATATGTGATCGTTGTTTATGTCAAATATGCCGATTTTTTATTTTTTTTTCACAAGTGATCTTTTTCGTTTCTTGACGATTCGATTGCTCGATGATCTTTATGCCGTTGTCGTTGTTGCAGCTGAGTAACTACTCTTCCTATGAAGGGGTTCTATATTGCAAACCTCATTTCGACCAGCTCTTCAAAATGACGGGAAGCTTGGATAAAAGTTTCGAAGGTTATAGCATAATTGAATCGATCCTCACTTTCCAAAAGATTCTTTTTTTTTTCTTTTTTTTTTCGTGTGTAGCTTGCCTATTTATCTCCATATTATTATTACAGGGGGTCCAAAAACTTCTAGAATCGATAGATCCACCGACCACGGGGCTGCAAATAGCAAATTTTCGAGTATGTTTGCGGGAACTCAAGATAAATGCGTTGCTTGCTCCAAAACCGTTTACCCTCTTGAAAAGGTACTTACGATTAGAAAAACGAGGATTTCGAAATTTTTATGGCGCGATGTTTGTTTACATTTGTTCAAATCCTTTTCTCCGTTTTTGTGAATTGCATATGCATTTGTTGTGTATTTCAAAATTTCGCTCGTTTTTTGCTCCGATAAAACTAAGGCTCTGTTTGGTTCATGGATTTTGAAATGAGGAAAATGAAAATACAAAAGCAAATGAAATTTTTTTCGTATAATAATTTTGAAATAATGTAATGTTTGTATTGTGGTTGATATAAAATTTCTCTCGTTTTACATTTCCGTTTTTATTTCCCAAAAACACCCTAGTTCCGAAATAAATTGGGAATGTATCCTCAAAATGCAACCAAATTATAGCCTAAATTATTATTTACGATTGGATTTTAAATTCAATGACGAAGTATGATATTAATAGGTAGGAGTTGACGGGGTGTCGTACCATAGACCATGTTTCAAGTGCAGCCACGGTGGGTGCGTGATAAGCCCGTCGAATTACGTAGCGCACGAGCACCAGCTCTACTGTAGGCACCACCATAACCAGCTTTTCAAACAAAAAGGCAACTTCAGCCAACTCGACAAGCACGAAGAAGCTTAAAACACTGAAAAACGGGACTGCTTAAAATCGATCCCCCTCGAACGTGAAATACGAGAGATACACTTCAGTTTGTTTGGTGAATTTCTTCTTTGGATTTTTTTGTTTTAGTTGCTGTTATTATGTCTTTAATTTTTTCTTTTTCTTTTTTTTGCCTTGTAATAAAATCAGGTGCAGAGTGTGGATTTTAATTGAATGTAATATCATTTGGCGTGTTTTGTATGGTAAATTACGAAACCCTCTGAACTTAGACTAAATAACGAAAAACACCCCATATATTCGTAATTACCGAAAACTCTCTGAGGTTTGTTTCCGTCTTACACCAACCCTTTACAGTGTGACTTTTCACATATTTTTTTATTACATAGAATAGACTTTCCACAGTTTCAGATATTTTCTTTTATTTCTCACTTATTTAAGAGAAGGTATAATAGATTGTACACATTTTCTGTTAAAAATTCGATCAACAGTTAATCAAATGGGGATTTTGGTTACTACAGATAGGTGGGGTGTTTTTCATTATTTAGCCTAAGTTCAGGGGAGTGTTCGTAATTTACCCTGTTTTGAGTAACAACTAACAACTTTTTGGGTGCATCTCTACAGTAGCCTGATTCTGGGCCCAAACCATATAAGGGCCGAACCACAATTAAATTAAAAATCAGCGTAAGAAATATCGGGCTTTTATTATTTCGGGAATTAGCTTAAATTCCCCCAATAAGCTAATTTCATTAACAATAAAGAGAACGGATTTTCTTTTTTCAATAAAATCCTCACGCTTGTTTATTTTACGAAAGTACCCCCATATTTGTTTGTATCGGTTAAAAGTTTAATTGAAAACAGTTTATTTTCACCAATATTCAAAAGTTTATTATCATTTCACCAATTTTAACGAATCCATTGTCAACTATTAACTAATTTATACAAGTACTTCGCCATTTTTTAGATGTTTACTATAATATTTTGTTAAACTACTCGATTTTCAGAACTTCATTACCAATTTTCAATCGTTTTTCAAAAAAATTGCCTATGCGTGATCTGGTCAAGCTCTCATATATGGCTTATAATATCTTGTTAGACTTGCAAGTTAAATTTAAACCACATTTTGCAGCTTTTCGTTTGGGAATAAAAAATCTTAATTTCCAATATGAAATAAAATTAGCGCATTGTCTAGAAAAAAAGTACTCGTAAATTAAATCAAATTATTCGAAACTCGATTGGTAGTGTGTATGATATATATCTACTAACTGAAAATGTGTACCTTGGAATTATTATCAAGTTCTTGGTCAAGAAAGTTACTGTCAAAGGGCTATTAGTATTAATTAATCTCGATATTAATTATTGCAATATTGGAGAAGGAAAGAAATGATGTAATAATTAATTGTAGTTAGTTATAAGTTATTTTCACATGTCTATATTGAGAAATGCCTATTCCGTGGAATTCTTATCAAACTAAGATTATAATCTGCCACCAAAGGTATGAGGGACCATTATTACCAATATATCTTCTGAATTAATTGTCTCTTTAAATTCCAATAATACATCAATTGCATTTTTCCCCTTAATTTTGTCATCTACACTCATAACTAGTAGTAGGGAAACAAATTACGATAAGGGTATTTTAGTCATTTTATATGTGTTTGTTCGGTATTTCATGCATATTTATTTATTTTCTTAACGCACTTTCAGCAGCCCTAATTTAAATGCGGACCGGTAGCTTGTTGAGAACAAATTTTAAATGCCTAATATTAGATTATATTTTGATTGAATGATATAAATTTGGGTTTTTTGTGATAAAGTTCTCAACCAAGCATGTTTATTATTCTAGGTTTATGGGCTATATCTCTTTCACTAATAAGCCCATCCCTTTAATACTTATTATAAATAAAGTAAACACTCATGTATATCACAATAATACCCTCAACTATTTATACACAATTCTTAATTGTAACCCCAGTTTAATCAATTTTGTCCAAAAAAATCCAATTTTGACCACAAAAATTTAATTTTGACTTTTTTTTGGAGCATACTTTAATATGCTCCAATTTCATCCTTTAACTTAATTTAATCTCAATTTGACCCCAAATTTCACAAATTATTCAATTTTGACCCAAACTTTTTTTTTTCACAAATATTTTTTTTTTCAAAAAAAAAATTTTTGCCGCCGGATTCCGGCGTTGACTTTTTTTTTTTTTTTTTTTTTCTTTTTGCTTTTCTTTTCTTCCGGATTTTTTCGCCGGTTTCCGACGGTCTCCGGCGTTGATTTTTTTTCGTGTTTTTTTGAGTTTTTTTTTTGTTTTTTTTTTTTTTACGTCCGCCGCTAAACGTTGACCGTAATTGTACTGTCACTGACAGTAAATTAACGTAATTATACTGTCAATGACAGTAAATTAACGTAATTATACTGTCAATGACAGTAAATTAACGTAATAGTACTGCCACTGACAATACATTTATGTAATTGTGCTGCCGTTGACAGTAAATTAATGTAATATATTTTTTTTTTTGTTTTTTTGTTTTTTTTTTTTGGTTTGATTTGTTGACAAGTCAACGTAATTATATTACTGTCGTTGACAGTAAAATAACTGTAAACACAATAATATTACTGTCAACAACATCAATATTATTATTTTTTTGGGTTTTTTGTTTTGTTTAAGTTATTCACGGAGTAACGTAATAATATTACTGTCTATTATTGTAATATTACTGTAAACACAATAATATTACTGTGGTTGACGGTAATATTACTGTTGTTATAGTAATATTGCTGTCAACCACATCAATATTATTATTTTGTTTGAATTTTTTGTTTGTTTGTGTGATTCATGGAGTAACGTAATAATATTACTGTCTATTATTGTAATATTACTGTGGTTGACGGTAATATTATGTTGTTATAGTAATATTACTGTCACTCACCGTAATATTAATTCTTTTGGTTTTTTATTATGTTTACATTTGTTGAACGGTCAACATAATATTATTACTCTATTACACAATAATAATGAGTTTTGTTGTGTTAATATTACTGTGCTAGAGATTAATATAGCAATATTACTGTGTTAAACAGTAGTTTAGTTTAATTTTACTGTGTTTAACAGTAATATAGTTAATATTACTGTCAATCACAGCAATATTGCTGTTTAAACGGAAAAAAAAAGTTACAGAAAGAAAGAAAAGAAGAAAAAAAGAAAAGAAAAAAAAAATTGAAAAGTCAACGCCGGAATCCGGCGGGAAAAAAAAAATTTTGAAAAAAAAAAGTTTTGGGTCAAAATTGAATAATTCGTGAAATTTGGGGACAAATTGAGGTTAAATAAAGTTAAGGATGAAATTGGAGCATATTAAAGTATGAGGGGTTATTTTAGTCATTTACAAAAATCTGGACCATGTGTGGACTTATTGGTAAAAAAGTTTTTTGTCTTGATCTCTTTATAAATAAGTACCCATTGATTGGCTTATTTGTAAAGTCCCCTATAAATTTGATTAAAAAAAGTATGTTGGAAGATGCTTAAATATCTTTAAAAATTGAGTGGATTCTAAATTCAATATGATAATAATAATTCAAACACCAGTTTATATTGAAAGTTAAGGATTTAAAATTCGCTAGAATAAATTCTTCGTCTATATACAGTAGAATTTTGATAAATTAATAACCTTATTTAAATAATAATTTCTTTTAATCCTGACTCATTAAAACAATACAATTTTATTAATTCGATAATTTAGTATCTCATCAAATTAATAGAATTTTATTAGTTTCGACTGTATTAATTTATAAATATTTAATTGCACGATGTTAACAAATTATTGTTAAATAATATTGTGATTATTTAATGGTCATGTATTATTTTGCTCTTCATTGCACTCTTAGTCTTGGTCACACATTCACACAAAATTGGTCAATATTTCCAGTTTGAACACTCTTATCCAGTCTACTGTAAATTACTACACACCACCACCCCTTTGACAAATATGGTGAAACCTTCACCAAGAGTGTTCAATTATATTCATTTGACTAGGAATGCCATTTATTAAATAAAAAATTGACCAAAGCATTCGGACCATTATTAGTCAACTAATATTTATTGAATTCAAATTGAGATACGATAAATGTAGTTTCAGTTAAAATAACATTGATTGGGTTTCAAATGCGATTTTGATCATATTTTTGTCTGAATTTAGTAAAATCCAGGAACACGAAATTGTAGTTTCTTGAATTAGCTTTTCAATTCAACTTGGATCACCAAGATCGAATGTTGGGTTAGAAAGATATATATTAATCAATAAACACTTCACAAAATTTTGATGTATTTTGAGTTATGTAAAATTCAAAATATAATTCATTCATGCATAACTTTATCATCTGAAATCCAATTTGACTGATTCAAGTTAGATTAGTAAAACTGTAACGTAGTTTAACATTTCATTTACACATTTACCAACCAAAACTCCATTCACGTTCTTAAACAAGTCTGCATGTTAGTACAAAATTGAAAGTATTCCCTTCACTTAAAAAGAGAAAAAATGGAATATCAATGCTCTGATTATTGCACCTAAGATTGATTCCTTACTTTCATTGGTCCCAAATCTTGAAAATAAAATAATTTATTTATTAATTGTTAAATTCTTAAAAAATTGAAGTTTAAATCTCTTGTATAATGCTTTTCCCCTCTTCACCACAGAAAGTGATTAAAAATAAATAAAAATAAAAAAGGGGAATAAAGAAAAAGTTTGTGCTTTATTAGTAGTAATAATTGTTTTTGCCGCTTAAAAGGTAGGAAAAAGAGAAAGATCTAATTGCCTCGTGGGCTGAAGTACTTATGATTAATTCTTTATCAAGTGCAACAAATATGACTCAAATGATTGCTCCTAACTCTAAAATCAACCACTTAATCATGACTTCATCTACTATGAATCGTTACTGAGTTGACCCGTTCGACACTTTTATCTCCGATATGCCTTCCTCATGTGCAGACGTGTTATATTTTGAAAATTTGCACACGTCGTGTTATATTTTACTATCTACATTTCTTGTCACGCTTGTCACTTTGACCATTTTCTTTTTTCCAAGTGTCTTAGAGTTTTCCAAGGCAAAATTAATTTTTTTTATACCAATTTTTTCCAATCTTACCAATTTTTAATAGTGTTGCAAAGGGCAATTCGGAACTTTTCAATTAAAAATGAAGTTATTTGTGAAGTTTATCTTAAACAACACTTAATATAAAACAGAGATGGTAATTAAGTATTGCACGTAAATTTTTATGAACGTATGACTGTTGGATTTGAACACAAAACCTTTCGTTTAATCTGTCAGTGGGATACCAAATTTAATGATCGCCTTCTCGAAAAGCTTAAGAAATGTTAGTTGGGGTGAATCATATTAATTTGTATACTTGTATATTCTTTCCTTTTTCCTTTGATGTTGACCCTTTGATCATTATTTGAGTCAATAAGTAAGAGATTGGCATTATCTATTCATTCCCATCTTAATCTTGATTATATTATTAATCTCTCTTTTCCAACGTTGGCATCTGATAAAGAATGCAGTTAAGTATTTGGCAAAGGTTGTCTTTTTCAGCATTTTCTTGAATTAGGGGAATAATTGACATGCTTATGTACAATGAGTAGATATTGAGATTATCTTTAAAGAAAAGCTTGTGGGGTTAATTTAGAGAATTATAAATGATTATCCTTTATCATTTTCTTTTGATTTATTGCCCAAAAAATCTATTTTATACCCCCCTTATCTTAATATTTCACAATTTAGTCCCTTATTTCTTAATTGTCCAAATTTAGTCCTATTGAGTCATCCATCTCTATTATTCATTCTATATTAGTCCTTTGGTATATAATTTTATTAACTTTAATGATGTATGTTGATTGGATAAAACATCAATTACTTCTCTTAATTTTTTGCCCTTATTACTTATAAATTATTTCAAAAGTCAATTTTAACAAACGAAATAAATAATAAATGGATAGAGGATTGGTAGATGCACATTTTAGTTATATAGTACTTATTTTCTAAAGAGTCATGGATACTTATTATTTTCTTAATATGTGTACTAAAACCTTAATAGAATCAACAATGTTGTCTGAACTGAACGGATTTACATGTTCAACTGGTGAACTGTGACTCGGTTGTTGGTCCCCATCCGAATAAATAATGTTGAACCTTGCCCGCCAAGTATAAATTGATTGGATCCAATAGGGTATGAACTTGGTTTGCGGGTTTGACCTAATCAAAAGGATTGTATGATATTTGATTATATTATTTTGTGATTATGTATTATTGTGTAATAAATTGATATGGAGTTTTTAAATTGATATTTTATGATGGATAACTTCTTTTAGATGATTTTTTTTACTAGATAACTCACATCTAAATTACTTATAACTAATTAAAAACAAAAGTTCAGAATTGATCAAATTGAGTTGAAATGGTTCAACCATAACCTAGTTGATTCATTTATTTTAATATTACAAAGACTACATACATATGTTAGTGGATATTCAGTATTCTCATATGTAGAGCTTAAGCAATAGCTTGCTCTTTATTTTATTTAATTTTTATAGGTATTGGTACTATAAGAAAGCATAGATTCCTTCGACCCACTTAGAAAAACAAAATCAAAAGAATTCAGTACCAAATACCAATGTCATCAAGTTGATAACAATATGAGATGTTTGAACTTTGAACCTCATTTTTTTTTTCTTAGACCAACTCATAAAAGGATATTATATAATATAATATATATTATATTATATTACCCCATCAATTATGATTTTTTCTTATACTTCCACCCTTATGTTGTCAAATTCAACATAATCATCTAGATTTCGTTGAATGTGCTCTAGTTTGTACTCGTTTTGTGTAAAAATGCAGTTTCTGATGCACCACAATCTGATATATACAAGCCAAAAAAAATACAGATTATAATCATCTTGCTTCAAAATGTGGAGTTCGAATGGGATAAAGCGGGTACAAAGGTGATAATATTCCATATAATCTCGAAGATTCCACTAAATTTGAAACCACAAGGGTGGACGTGTGTAAGAAGATTTATAGTTAGAGGGCTGATTGTAATTACCCAAACATGATGGGGATTTTCGTAATTTGACCAGTATACCTTTGGGGTGGTTGTAATTTACCCATATATATATTATTGTGTATGTTGAGGGGCAAATAAATAAATAATGAATTTGTGGTCAAAATACCTATTTGCTTTATTGGCACAGCTAATATTCATTGATTGGTATTCATTACTATCTGCTTTTCTGATATTATCAGGAGATCACTATTGGGACCTGGGAATATGTATGTATAGGTGTATGATAGCTGTGTAAGTCTTCTTCCAATTAGTGACCACAGATATTATTTTATTTTACTTTTTTCTGTGATTAATTGATCCCATATTTGTTGCAATTTTCATTGTTTGTACTATGACTAAATTTCCAATTTGACTTAATTATTTATGTCAATTCCACTAATTAATAATACTCCACCAATGCATACAGAGTAATATTCATTGGATTGTGTAGTTTGGTTATTTCTATGCTACACCAGTGAAGACTACATCAGGAGTACGAGTGTGATTGTGTGTATATGAATGATAAAGATCTATCCGATGTATTTCACCGGGTGTAACATAGAATAGACCGTGTAATTCTACATGAGAAGATTGATTCATATATTTATTCGTCCAAAATCCTGAAATAAATTGAACGAAAATTGTCTCTAAAGTAGATAGAAGTTCAATTAAACGAGTAGCCCAAGTCTTGAGTAACTAATTCGAACGAGGGGCACCTCTGCGGAAATGAACAAAATAAACCTATTTTATGAAATAAATAGAAACTTCTAGTTTTTTTATCGAATCTAGCTAAACACGTACTCAAACTCTTAATCTAAGTTTTCAAGCGTTGAGTTCTTCATTTTAATTGGGTTGAAACTCCATTCGTGTTTTCAAGTTCGTCCGGGGTTTGATATTGTACCTTGGGAGACTACTGAGACGAGACCGGTTGCACTATCGGCAACCCGAAATGTGCAACTAGAGTATCATTTGTTTACATAAAAAAATCTAAATCTGCTTTCCTTTCATTGGCCGATTTTCACAAATATGCCCTTTTTTTTACCATCTAAATTTAGTAATTTTTTTGCATAATTCAATCTGAAATTACAAGCCCAAAGAAAAAAAAAAAATAAATAAATAAAAAAAAAAAGAAGAGAATCTCAGCTTGCAGACTCAGAGATGCTGTTTAATGCTGGTTGCCATCCTCTGGATTTAGATGCAGCAGCAGCAGAGTTTACTTGTGTGTTGTTTCTTGACCTCTGCTTCTCTTGCTTTACCTGAATTTACATTATTATTATTACTCGATTAATTATTAAACATTTAATTTATTTTATATATATATATATGAGACAAATTTTATTTCTGGCAAATATGAAGTTGTATGGCTCAAATCAAACTGCTCTATTATCCTTCTTTATTTCTTGCACAAATTACGGCTACCCATAATATAAAGTCAAATTACGAAAAAACCACTATTGTATGAGTAATTACAACCACAAGAACCCCTTCAGTTAGTAGGTAAATTTGACAACCACAAAGGTGGACGTGTAAGAGAATACATAGTTGAATGATGTAGTTATAATTATCCAAACAGGAGGGGGTTTTCGTAATTTGGCCTTACCTGAGGGGGGGGTTTGGCTGCTATTTTCCCTTCTTTCTTTTTTCATTTTTTTTTGGAGGAGAAAGATCTATTATCCTTTTGAAATGTAAAACATATTTTGCAATTGTATAACTAATTATTCATTTTATGTGTGTATGTGAAAATTGGTGAAGATGGACTTATACAACTCAGAGATGCAAGAAGATTTCAAGATTCTAAAATCCAACTATTTTTTTTTTCTTTAAAAAAAAATATATCTCAATTTTTCAACAGTATTTGGAATTTGAAATTAGCTACATATATATGTGTATATATTTATATATATGATGGGGCCAAAATAAATCCTAGAAACCAATTAAATTTGCTAATTAAAAAAAATTAAAAAAAATAAAATAAAATTCACCTGTCTGGTCTTATTCACATCACTTCTCCTAAGTAGTTCAAAATCTGAAGCATGTTTTTCTGCTATTTTCCCACCAAATCCCTGCTGCTGCATCTTCGCTTGTTTCTTTGCCCACAACCCCTTCATCACTTCTGCAACATAAATTAATAATTAATTAAATAAATAATAAAAAGAAAATATCAATTTTAAATTAAAAAAAATGTGAACCTTGGGAGGTGACAAGTCTGTACACGTGGCCGAGACCAAGGGTATCAGTTTGCCTGAGAAGTTTGATACGCGTCACGCGAAGAGGCGCGTTGTTGTTGTTGTTATTTGCTGCTGCACCGGCGGAGGCCGCCGCGGAGGAGGCGGCGGCGGCGGAGGAGTAGAGGGTGGTGGTGAGGAGAAGGGCGACGTAGTGGCCGGGGTTGGCCTTCATGATATCAGCGGCGGAGATGGGGCGGTAGAGCTTATCTACTTTGCCGTTTGGGTGCTGGATTACTAGCGTTGCATTGTCAATTGCTTGGCAGTTTCCCATCTCTCTCTCTCTCTCTCTCTCTCTACTTTCTCTCTCTAGTTATGTGAGAATTAATGAAAATGGAGAAATGAGGAAACAAAGGAATGGGGAGAGAATGTTGTATGACTTGTGAGTAATCTTTATAGTACACCCACCCCCTACCCCCTACATTACAAAATATTAAATATATATATATATATATATATATATATATATATATATATATATATAATATATATATATATGGATAAATTACCAAAAATGCCTCTACCTATTCGTAATTATCAAAACTCCCCTGATGTTTGTTTTCGTCTTACACCAAAACCTCCTTACTATATGAAGTTTTCACGGATTTTTTTAATTCCAGGGAATAGACTTTACACAATTTCAGATATTTTCTTTTATTTCTCACTTATTTAAAAGAAGGTATAGTAGAATGTACACATTTTCTGTTAAAAAACTCGATCAACAGTTAATCAGAGGGGAGGTTGGTTACTACGGATAGGTGAGGGTGTTTTTTGCTATATAACCTAAGTTTGGGGTGGTTTTGTAATTTACCCAATATATATTTATATGTGGATTAATTCCAAAATGTCCAACAAAAGGGTTGTAGGTTCAATTAATTTACAATAATTGAAATAAATATAATTGAGAATAAAAAGAATAATGAGAAATATCTTTGAGGCTTTGGTTGACCTTTGATTACGATATATTGTTCTCTAAATCATAATTATTTAAACAATAATTTTATTATTAATACTTCTATAATTTTTTGTTTGTTACATATATGAATGTAAAGGAAAAAAAACATATATATATTTATGTTGATCTATAATTGAATAATATCTAATAATTTATGTATAGGAATGAAATCAAACACAAATCTTGTTATCTGATAAAGAATATATAGTATTGTTATTTTATTCGTACAATTATTATATATATGTTTGGTTGTGGTTATAAAAAAAAATCTTTCGTATAAAATAATTATAATAAATTCAATTAATAAGATATGTATATATATTTCAATTTAAATGTTTAGACTTAATTTTTGATAACTAGAGAATCTTTTCAAATTATTTGATGAGGGAATCAATTTTCTATTTATAGTGAAACGTTACAAACATCTTTATATTTCAACAACTAGCTTTTATGCATAAAGGTGTTTAGAAGTCAGTGAATGGAATAATTGCCTCGTGCACACAATATTCCTATACGTAATACATTTTTTATGACTTGAAGCAAACAAGTAATTATTATTTTCTTTTTCTTTTTTCTTAAAATTACATTTCTTTAGTATTGTGTATATTTTTTGTTTTAACTATTGTCTCTATGGGTGGAAATTGGACTGAATGGACCGGAAATGGTTTTTTTGAAAGTAAAAAATGGGTGTCAATTTTGGTTCCAAAAAAATCTAATGCAAATAAATCATTTTGATTTCAGAATTTTTCGGATTCCGTGGAATTTTGAAAATTTCGTAAATTACGTTAGTTTGTAATCTCTTGTTCCAAATTTGAATATTAATGAAAAAAATTACAATATTTTTCTATTTTTTTGGAATTTTTACAGGAAAATGCAAGAATACTCAATAGATAGTTCGACATAACACAATAAATAAAAATGCATATATGAACAACAAATTGAAACATATATTTTCTTATATGGAAAAACGCAACATAAAATTTTTGTAAGGTTTTCAAAAATATAACATAAATTATATTATGAAATTATAAAATTTATCATTAAATTATATTATATATTTCAAAAAATCATAGAAATATTCAGAACTAAAATTGGAATTTCCGATAACTTTATATACCATGTCGATTCAGCTCCAAATAAATTAGAAAATTTCGAAAAGCGAAAAGCGGGAAATCAAAATAAAAAAAAAACGATTCCAAATTCATATACTTTCATATTGGAATTGGTAGAATTCGGAAAATTCATTCCGTTTTCCAAACCTAATTCCCCCGCTTTAAAACAATAGATTATTACAGTTTTACCGTGTATTTAAAACTCCTTTTATTTCCCCCTTTTTCTTTTTTTTTTCTCCGTAAAATAAAGGGTTAAATACAAAAACACCCATGTACTATGGACTTTGTATTTATATACTCCCTTGTACTACCTATAAATACAAAACTTCCCTCATATTACATTTTTTCCAAAATATGACGAAAATATCCCTACTCAAGCATATATATATATATATATATATATATATATATATATATATATATATATATATATATATATAGTTTGAGTCGTTTTCCACTATATATTTTACCATTTTCAGTGAATTTTACGTGGAAATTTTTGGTATTTATATTTTTTTCTCCAAAACATTTAATTTCTTATATTTTTTTAATTTTCTGAATAAAACCTTTTATTTTTGTCATTTTGAGTTTCTTCATTTTTTTTCTTAAATGTATTCCGATAGTTCAAACATCTTAAGATCACAAACATGTTTACAATCCTATTATTGTTGAGAATTTGAACTACCGGAAGACATTTAAGAAAAAAATGAAGAAATTCAAAATGACAAAAATAAAAGGTTTTATTCAAAAATCTAAGTAATTAAATTTTTTGAAAAAAAAAATAAAAAAAATCAAAATTTACCAAGTAAAATTGATCGAAAATGTTAAAAAAATATGTGAAAAATGACTCAAATAAACCCTTATATTTATAGGCTTAACAGGGGTATTTTCGTTATATTTTGGAAAAAATATAGGCGCAAGGGGGTTTTTGTATTTATGGGTAGTACTTGGGGTATATGATACAAAGTCCATAGTACAGTGATGTTTTTATATTTAACCCTAAAATAAAATTCAAGTCTATCCCCTCTATATACGAGCCGATATAATATTATTTTTTCAATCTCTCTCATTCTCTCTCACACACACAAGAGGTATTTGTAGGACCCAAAACACACAGTTACACACATAATAAATTAATAATGCAATAAATCCACGCACAGAAACAGCAGCAATAAGTTGTTGTCGCGTGTGGTTTTGGGCACTCATTTAACTTCGTGGGTTTAATTTGGGCTTTGCTCACTTTAATTTTTGGATTATTATCATTAAATAAAAACAAATACTCTACTAACTAATAATGCATGATAAATAATAATAATAAATAATAAATAGTTGCTGGGAGTTTTTTGTCAATTGGCCACCTTTATAAAAACATTCCTGCCATTTTCAGGATTACCATTCCCACTAAATTACTAACATTTCCCTCTTATTTCTCTGACCTAATCCTTATTTTGCTTCCCATTCATGGGACATAAACTAACCCCACAACAACTAATTATACTAATAATAATAAGTTTTTGTTGCATTGTGGATTTAAAACTAAACCATTAATTGTGCAAATAAATCAACAAATTATACGGGGCTGAAAATCAGATCAAACTATTCGATAATCAATTCGAGTAGTTTGTTTGAGTTCGGTTGTTAACATGTATAAGAAATCAAACTTGAACACATACTTTCATTTTACAAGCTATAAATATGCAAGTTGGACGGAAACTGGTGCTTCCAGTGGCGGATGGGTGAATAACGCGTAAGAATCTGCCGAGGAGGGGCTTGCATCTCATTAGCTAGTTGGTGAGGCAATAGCTTACTAAGATGATAATCAGTAGCTTGTCTGAGAGAATGATCAACCACACTGGGATTGAGACACGACTCAGTCTCCTTCAGGAGGCATCAGTGGGGAATATTCTGCAATGAACGAAAGTCTGACAAGCTTGGAATTGACCTTAATTAGAAGAAGAACAAATATGTACAAAAAAATCAAAATATTTGAGTTATATTCGTGTTTGGCTAAATTAAAGCTCATTTGAGCTCAACTCAATTGTTGATCAAACAAAGCTCAAACACATGTGTTGAAGCTTTCGATAAAAATTCAAAACAAATTGAACAATCATACGTTCGATTAAACTTGATTCATTTACGCTCCTACAAATTAGTAGTAAACATAAAGAAAATGCAACAAATGGATCCGAACGCCTCAAATTAATTATAAAATGATTGCATCATTGAAAGATACATATAGAAAACAATGATGAAATTGTATTATTATGAATACGACCTATTTATCAATGGCCTATAATCCCTAAGGTCTCAGTTGACTATCTAATTCTTAATAATATTAATTACAAATTAAAACAAAATTATCTTGTTAAAAACAAATTAATGAACTAAGTCATGATTCATAGAATTCACGAGCTTGTAGTGGTTCATGAATCATGCCCATGAAATAATAAATAATTACATACTAAGTGAAAATTTAAACATAAATAGATTAACCTACATTTTCCAACACTTTTGTTTTTTATTGAGAAAAAAAAAATTGACTACAAAAGGGTCAAATTGTTTGGTAGAAGAATATAATTTTGTCAAAAAAAAAAATTACTGTTTCAATTATTAGGAAAGAATTCTTTTTGTACATATGATGTGGACCAACTTTATGCATGAAATCTAGTCCAAACAATTGCTACCTTTAACTTTCTGTCACTTTCATGGGTCATTAACCCACATTTGAATTGCACAAAATTCATTCTTCAAACTTAATTTTAGGGGTAAATTAAGTCCATCGCGGTATAAATTTTCTTTTTAAAAATATCCTCATGTATGTTTGGGTAATTATAATTACTCGTCAATTATGAATTCGTACATGTTTATTTTTATAATGTCAAATTCAATATAATCTTTTAAATTCCGTGAAATATTATCTAGTTTGTACTCATTTTGTGCAAAAATGCAGTTTATGATGCACCGCAATATGATTTTTTTTTCAAGCCAACAGACACTTCTTATGATCATCTTATTTTAAAATATGGAGCTCGAATGTGATAAAACGGGTACAAGCTAGAGAATATTCCACATAATCTTGAAGATTCCACTAAATTTGGCATCGCAAAGGTGGACGTGTAAGAAGATTAATAATTGAAGGGTGGTTGTAATTACACAAATATGAGAGGTTTTTTTGTAATTTAACATTACCTTGGGTGACTGAAACTTATCTCTATTCAAATATTTTTAGATAAATTTAATATTTCGAGAAGTGGCACATTTTAATATTTTCAAGAAATTAAAACTCTATTTAACCCCCAAAAAAAATTTTGATTTTATAAAATTTCGTACACCCCTAGAAATTTATTTTGATTTTATAAATAGCGCTACTCGTGATTGATAGAGTGAACAAATGTCTATAAAATTAGAATTAGAGAGAATTTTATGAGATCTAAAATGCTAAATACCGTTACAATTTTTATTGGTACAGCATATTTAAGACTGTATAATTTTATCATCTAACCACTGATTTAGGCTTATTTAAATTGAGTTAGAAAGTCAATACACAAAGGGCTACAATTTTGATATGTCGAGTTTCGCAGATTCAAACCGTAAAACAGTTAGAATCACGTCTGAAGTAGATATTTGATGCAAGCAATTATTGTGAGTTAGCAATGTTAATTCATCCATGCACTATTCTCTCATCCGAAAATAGTCAATATCACATTTAAAATTAAAACGGTAACAAAAAAATGAAACGACATTTTACAAATTCCATTTAACAAACAGGGTTGACAATGCAAACGTTCT